AATTTTCAGAAGAAGAGGGAGTCTCTCGCAAACTTCTCCCACTCTATTACGGTCCATGGGAAGTTTTGGATGTGATTGGCGAAGATCACTTTGGCCCTTCGTACGTAGTTGATGTGCCAGCCCATCTGCGCACATACCCTGTGTTCCATGCATCGAAACTGTACCTCCACTGTGACGCTAAGACGTTCGATCATCACGAAGACATGATCCCTCGTGCAATCAAAGGTGGGCATGAGATAAACATAATTAAACAGCACGTAGGGAAGGGACTCAACAGACAGTACCAGGTTCAGTTCATGTACCACCCGTTGGACGATCTGTACTGGGTTTCCTGCTATGCAGCGCACCACACGTTGTCAAAACCTGCGAGCGACAAATAGCAGCTAACGCTACTCCTAAGATCTCCGCAAGGCTCACTACGACGGAGTATTCTAGGAACCTCTTTGCCTTGCTTGCTTACGATGCGTTTGTCGAGGACTCAGAATGAGTTACTCACTCGAAGGGACCTCGCGCTTGAGGGGGGAGTAGTGTGATGACCCGTCCGAACATAGACTGAAACACACGGCTGATTTATGAGTTTTGCGCGTAGACTGAATTGAATGCCTTGCTGAGTTTCCCGCCTGCTACTAAGTCTGTGTGTGCACGCTTACTGGACTGCATATCTGTCTGAGTGCTGGTTGGCTTGAGTGTGTGTGTGGTCGTGCCTGTCTGAGTGCTGGTTGGCTTAAGTGTGTGTGTGATCGTGCGTGTCTGAGTGCTGGTTGGCTTGAGTGTGTGTGTGGCCCACAAGGGCACTTGCTCGTTCATTGGGCCCTCATGGCCGATACTTACCTGTGGCCGTAACATGGAGGGATTGCAGCGGGAAAAACACTCTCAATTAGCGGGTAGGCCGGTACCGCACCTTGAAGAGGTAGATATCCGGGAGCTGGAGGCCGAGTAGAAGAAGACAAAAGTGGTGTTTTTAGAGGCCCAGTAGTTGTAGGTTAGGTCTAGGCGGGTACCAGTCCAACCAGTCTGGGTCTAGAGCCTGTACGGGCAATATCAGAGTCTGCAATGATGTTTCCCTCGGAAAGGGAGGAGGTACCGGTTGCTTGGAAGGCCGAGCGGCCTGGAAGTCACCGCCCGAAGAGGCAAGCAGGCCGCTATATCTCCCAGTCGGGCGAAGAGCCCGACCTCATTCTCGATGTGCAAGTTTGGCGACACACTGGTTGGAGCGCCGGCTGGAGCAGCGCTATCCGGAGCATCGCTGCTGGGGGAAGGAGAAGGACACGGAGGAGGAAGAAGGACAGAAAGGGGGAGGAGAGCCAGGAGTACTTACCTGGCTATGGTGGCAACCATCTTCATCACCGTGGTGGGCGCTGCAGCAGGGAGGCCCCAACTGGGGAGAGCTACACCAAGAAGCTTAGAGGCAGGGTCAGGCATGACGGCCTGAGCTAGAGCGCAGCCATAGCTGCTTTGGGTTGTCCTTTGGGCATCTGGGCAAGGCCTAGTAGTCCGACATAGCCTCGACCTATGAGAGTGAAGAGTGGGAGAGGCGGTCATGGCTATGGCGGACCTCAAGTGATACCTGCAGTAGAAGAGGGATTAAGACTTGATTCCGGTTCAGCTATTCAACATTGTATTATTATTTCTTGTGTGAATAAGAGAGGAGGAGATAAGGAGGAAGAGAGGGTTGAGCGAAGAAAAAGAGCTTTAAAGTTTGTCTGTGCTGGTGTACATCATATTTTTCTTCTTTCTTACTTCTTCTTCTTCTAACCTTCTCTCTCCTCTCAAGTTCATTAATTTCTTTCTGCAATTGGACAACATTGTACGATTTGATGAATGTGTATCTTGAAATTAGTCAGGATCATAATACAGGGGACTAAGCCATTTAGCTTAGAAACAATGCTCGGCTTGCCCAGTTTACTTTCAATGATACTCTTGACTTTAACTATTCGACTTGGAAACAATATCCAGCTGCCTGTTCACATGCAAATATAGATAAAGTATTTCCAATTATACTCATTTGTGCTTTAGTGTGTGGTTTAGGCTAAACCATTCGTCTTGGAAACAATGCCTAGCCCTTCACCAAAATCCTCCCTCAAAATAAAACAAAAGACTCTACCATTCGGCTTGGAAACAATGTCCAGTCTATCCTAAGTCACACAAAAGCATGAAGTTGAACCATTCGGCTTGGAAACAATACCCAACTTTAGCCAGAAACCCCAAAAGAAACAGATAGACCAAACCATTCAGCTTAGAAACAATGTTAGGTCTAAAAAATCAGGGAGGCGAACCCTTAGAAATAAACATAGCGACAAGGCCATTCAACTTAGAGCCAATGCATGACTCTTCAGAAAACAAGCAATATATATGGCACTGGACCATTCAACTTAGAAGGTCCAACCTTTGATTCACCCGGGCAAACGCATGCAAAACCACCTTCCTCCCACCTTCCCCCAGTTCATCCCGTAGTCTGATTTCAGTCATAACAAAACGAAACTGAAATCCACGCACGAATTCCTTTTAATTAATCTGATTAGGTTTTAGAAATAAACAAAAATCATAAAGCAACATATGCATATTTCTCAGACAAACTAGAGAGAGGTAATGGTTGGGGTATAGTGGGTTCACACAAAGCAGAAGAAGATATACCTAACAGTTCTCTGCCTCCAGAATCTCGCATAGATTCCAGTAGAGCTCTCGCAATCGGTGGGGTAACCTCCCACAAAGGCCTTGTTACGGTCCTACGGGTTGCAATCCCGCCTGTTGCCTTCCTCTCGTAACCAAAGATCAGACTTAGATTAAGAAGGGCAGAAGGAGAGGTTTTAGACACTCGAAATACGAGAAGGGGACAGACTCAAATCGCGGGAGAGGGCCGTGAAACTTTCGATCGCCTTAGGGCCCCGCAATTGCAGCCAAGGATCGTAGTAGATTGGCCAAACCGTGGCCAATGCGCAGAACAAACGACACTCTGCCTAACCTCTAAGCTGCAACAGTAACCCTTCTTGCAGAACCTGATCACTTCCCCAAGTCGTGATACCATCCCTTCTAACCAAACCATAGCTGCGCAGCTCGGACAGGCGACATCCGAATAGAGCACACCCTTGTATTCTATTCAGAGTGCTAACGAAAAACGCAGCAAGACTCAACTAAAAATTCCGCCCACAACAGCAAGCACAGTAACACTGGTAATAGACTTGCAGAACTCAAACATCGGTCTCAGCAATGATGCACAATTAACAAGATACGATGATACACAGAGAAAGCAGCGTCGCACAACAAAGACTCTGCAAGCGGCGACCACACCTGCTCATGCCTATGTCCCGAGATTGCACGATCCCACATTCTCCAAGTAGTGGCTCATACGAGGGGATCACAAATGTCTTGACCTACATCCGGAACAGTCTGGTCGCAGACCTCTAGGCTGCACATAACAGCGAAAGCCAAGTATGTCGAAAGTCATCCAACAAGCAAAAATACATTGTTTGTACACATCGATGGAGAACCAACGCAACGAACTCAATTGTCAATGAAATTGTTTGTACGCATCGATGGAGAACCAACGCAACGAACTCAATTGTCAATGAAATCATAAACTCGCCATCACTAACAATGCATTCGAGGTTCTCCTACTTCGTTGGTGCTAAGTGCTCAGACCACGATCCGACAACCACTTGAAACAGCCGTGGACATCAGCGGCAACAACCGAAGTACATCCATATATCAGTCACGCAGACCGTCACCACGCACGGGTACGCGCTCTCACTGTTGACACTCGTTCCTTGTGATGACCTTTTCTGACACCTCTAGCTCATGGTTTTGAAATGTTGAAGGATGAAGCCATGCTCTCTCAACAACAACAGTGACAAATAGCAGCAACAAGTTATCACAACAATAGCAAATACTCAGCGCAGCAAGAGACATAGCGTAGCTAGGAAAGACTTAGCGTAGTGTGAAAGGCAATTCTCAGTAATACCCAGACACACAGCAACATCGTAACCTAGTGAAATCTGTCAACGAGTGTCATAGCTCACATCACAACGTTGCTTTAACACCTATCGACCTTTAATGAGAACAACAACAACTTTGCCCGGAAGCAAGTGGAAGC